TTTTTTTTAAACATCAAGCAACCTGTGCAGATAAATCAGCTTTGGTTTCAATGTCAGAGCAAGTAAGGAGCTTTTAAATATCCAGTTTGGCTTCTTGGTCACAAGTCCATCATGTCAACTTCTCATCATGATGATTTTTTCAAAACAACCCAGTTGGTTTTCCTGCCCTCCTTCCTGCTGCCTGCCCCACGCATGGAGAGGCAGCTCTCTGTGGTGCCTCATCAGTGACCCTGGTGACCAGTCTAGATCACAGCACGTAGGACAAAAACAAAAAAAAATCACTTTCTTAATAACAAATAAACAAATGTGCCTCACATAATTTCAAGTTGAAGACAAGCAAACCACGTGACGAAAAGCTCATTACAAAATGTTATCCAAACAGATTTTACAGTCAAACATTGAAATGAAAATCAATTTCCTTTTTCTCCATTTTTTTAAGCTTGGTCATTAACTGGGTACAAGTAGAGTGCTGAGGTAAAACATTGATGAACAGTTTGTATTTCTTTTTTTTTTCTTAAAATAGGAACAGTTTAGTATTGCAAGATTGTCAGCAACATTTAAGCCATATCTATACAATGTGCATATACCTACAAATACTGAGCTTTGGTCCAGCGTAGAGAAGATGAGCAAAGGCATTTTACAATTTCTTTTTGGTTATAGCTTGAGTTCTTTGATACGCCTCTACTTGGTTTTCTTTTTTCCTAGCTCCTTTTGCTGTTTTGTTCTCTCTTTTGTGGGGTGTGTGTGTGTGTGTGTGTGCGCGCGCATGTGCGTGTGTATGGTGTGATTACAACATATAGAAACCAAAACCTTGCAAATGCAATTAAAACTCTCAGCGGTTCAAAATGGTTTTTTTGGTTGAAAAAGAAGAAAAAAGCCCACAAACAAGTGTGAAATATAACATTGGTCATTTTTCGTTCTCATCAAACCATGAAGGAAATGAAGCTGACCGTGATTTAAGAATATGTAAGAAAAATATTGAAGCTTGGAATACAATCACGTGTGCCCGAAGTGGCTTTTATTTTTTGTTAGTGGCAACCTTAACCTTCAGTTCATGGGAACATAAAAGACGCTTAAGTGCTGTTGGCATATGAAGTTGTTACAAGTGGAAATAAGAAATGTCATAATAAAAATTAAGCAGTAGGTGAGGTCCCGAAGACTTACAAGTCACACAATATAATTTATATTCCTAAGAATTTGTTCAGGCACCTTTTTATGCCTTGTAGCAAAAAATTCATCTGTAAAAAATTAATATAAGAAGCATTACAACACCTTATAAATAATTTATAAAACAATACAAAATTATAAAACTATAAAAAAAATCACTGCACATGAATGGTTTTACGACTGTGGGATGAATATATTTCTTTTTTATTCCACTCTGGAAGATCACTTTTATTTTTTATTTTCACTGTCCTAGTTATCCCCTCCCAATTATAGATCTCCGAACGGAGCAGGCCTTATGCAGCAGCTGCTGGCATATGTTTACACATTTAGCATCCGTTATATGTCCGCTTGTTAACTTCTCTTCCTGGGGAGCTTTTCTTGACGGAATTTGGAGCAGGTCCTAGGAGAATACAAAATCTGTTTAATTGATACGTTTTGGATTTCTGGGTTGTTGGTGTTTGTGCGGTGGATTTGGTGGTGGCGAAATGGGTGCCGTGATGTCGTTGGCATTGAAGATCAAGTTAGCCGTGGTCCATTAGCCGTGGTCCAGTTAGCATCAGACTGGTCCAGTGGAAACACCTTCACAGGCGAATGATGCCACTTGCAGGATTTCTTTCTGAGTTTCCTTGCTGGTGGCCTCCTGACTACTGAGTGAATCATGAGCCGTCTGGGAGGGGGGTGGGGTGGAGACGCTCATACCATTGCACTGACATCACCAGCCTAGGGGCCGACAGAAGAAACTCAAACTCCCACGGGGGAGGGAGTGTGTTAGGGAAAGAAGATAACATTTCTCTTCAGTCGGGCAACTTGAGGGTTTTGTTTTTTCTTTCATAATTTACTTCTACAGAGCACATGAGTGTGATTAGTAATTAACTATTCAGGAACATTTGCATCTAGACGGTGTGCACATCGGTGGTTCTCTTTGCCAGCTCCTTTGACTGAACACATTTTGCCTATACCTGCGGGATCCGGGTGTCCACCTGCCCAGCCATCCTCGCCTCTCACCCTTTCCTTCTGGCTTACTAGGTTATTTTGGCCCACCGATCTTTTGAGTAAGTAATTCATTTTGAAAAATGAATTAATCCCCTAGTTCTAATGGTGAAGGCTATTCTGCTGTGTTAGACAAGCCGCTTCTAGATTTTTTTCCTTCTAGTGGAGGCACTTGATTGCTACAACTTCTTTTCCCCTCAAGAACCCAGCCCCCAATTCCAATTGTTTAAATTTGTCTTCTTTCTGCTCTATTTGTATATCCCAGGAACAACTGCTCCCCCCCTGAAAAGAGTCTGCCATCCCTACTGGAATGAAAATAGTAGCAGAAAAGATGGGATTTACA